AAAAAGTCTGCTACTAAAAAAAAAAAAAAAAAAAGAGAAAAACACTATTGTGAAATGAGAGAGGGCAAGCACTACTCCTTACAGGTACTGGCAGAGCTAGCATACAGCTCACAGTGCTATCATTGCTGTACTAGTCTACAGAAGCCTATCTACGAAGCTCTGCCTTCCCTTTCACAGCTGTATCTCAGACATTAAGAGCAGAAAAAGTGATTTGCATACATCGAGAAAAGCTAAAAGTCTTCAGGAATCCACATTCTCCACACAGAGGGCCGGAGAGCTTGCTCAACGCAGCTAGAGGGAGAGAACCAGAACCAGCATTAACAGGAGCAGAATCATCCCCCCACAGCAAGCCCTGTGCCGGCCACCCACCCACCCAAGGAGCCGGGTAGCTCCCGGGGCAGCAGCAGCTGCCGCTGTGTGTCCCCAGCGCCACAGACCATGCCTCAGCCCTGCCGCCTGCTGTGCTGCGTGGCTGCCATCACCCCTCAGCCCCCCTTCTGTGCTAATTTTTAGGAGCTGGTGCCCAGCTCTATCCCCCAGCTAATGCTACTACACCAGGGTGGGTGGACAGCCCTTTGCCTGCCCACCCTGCGCTGTGCCTGCTGTGGCAGCAGTCCACACAGCAGTAAGGCAGCATGAGGGCCAGTCTCGTACGCTAGTGACCCGTTCCTGTGACAACTCGGCACCCTTGAGCTAAGCTGAGTGAAGGGGAGGGCAGTGCGGAGCAACGCTTCACAGTGACGCTGCCTTGCTGCCTGGCAGAGAGCAGGGGTGCGCTGCCTGGCAGAGAGCAGGGGTGCGGCGCAAGGCAGCTGCCTGCTCCGGTGACACACAGGGAGCTGGGCCCCTCTGCAGGTTGCTGCCAACACTGTCTACAGCAAGGCTGCAGTGCAGGGGTGTCCCACAGACCCACAGCACCCCACAACTGGGTCACCACTGTTCCACAGGTGGCAGGATCACAGCTCTGACCGCTCTCAAATCTCATTCCTAAAAAGTACCTAGTCTTAGTATACGTGTGTGTGTCTGTGTGAGCATGCATGCACACACACACAGGGGGTTTCAGGGGATTTCCTCCTCTCCCCTCCCCTGACAGGGTAGTTACTGGAGCTGGGCCCAAATGCCCTAGCCTCTGTCCTGGCTTGACTGCTAGCTGTTTGGTCTCCCCACCTATGCTGCCACTCCAACAGAGAACAAGAATGAAGCTGCCATTTCCCATTTGACCATTTCTCCATTGTTCCTCTGCTGGTGCTGTTTCTCAGGGGCAATTCCTTTCCCCTTCCAGTTCTGCCAAGCTCTGGGGAGCCCAGAAAGACAAGAGCAGAGACCTCAGGCCTGAGACATTTGGGAAATAGAGCCATCAGAGCTCACGTCAGGCTTTCCTTCCCCGAGGGCATGATTAACCCGAGTCTTATCAGCACAGCTCCCTGAAGAGACTGCAGGGAAGAGAGCAGCAATTGCATCTTTCTCTGCCTTGCAGACTAAATGCACTCTGCACTGGCTGCTGCAAGAGTGGGGCAAGCAGAAGCTGTGACATGTCCCCCTCAAGCTTCCCTCCCTCAGCCCATCAGCCTTCAGAGCTCCACAGGGACTGGTATTCCCTTCTGGCCAAACCTCCAGAGCACTACAGGGAAACCAGCAGACCATGGGCAGCTCAGAGCTAGGCCACCCCTCCAGGAATAACCTAGGCTGGCTAGGAGGCTGGCTGTGACTCACACCGAGCTGTCTGACAGCACTCACCATTCTGACAATGTAGTTGTGGAGCTGCTGGCTGATGTAGTTCACAGTGGTGCTGAAGACACGCTGTAGAAGGGACGGCATTGTATTCACGATTTTTTTAGTTAAGACCATCGCTAGCACCAACATGGCCTTCTCCTGCTCCATGCCTGAGGGGATGGCTCGTGCAAGCCCTTCCACCGCCTCTGACATGTGCCGGGTTATCTCCTGTATGGAAGGAAGGGAGGGATCTCAGTGCAACAGCTGTGCAAGAAGAAAGGGTCTCAGTACAGCCTGCTGACACTGTGCTGGTGACCGATGCACTTGTTCTAACACCTCACAGGATGCCACTCCCATTCCTCCTGGGCACAGCAACCTGCCTGTTACACACCCTGGATAGCAATAAAGATGACTATCTCCGAGCTCAGCTGCTCACTGAAGGCAAAAAGAAAGGGAGACAACACACATAGCACTGGAAAATTTAGATAACACCTTTCACGCTCAGGCTACAACAGCCTCCCTCCTCCTCAGAGCTTGCACCTAGCCTGCAAAGTCCTGAAATGGCACGGGAATCCAGGGGCTCCCAGGAAAGGGCAACACACCTTAAACACAGTGAAGATCAGGGGTACAAGCTTAGGTGGGGACTGGCAAGAAGGCAAACTGAGTTTCACAGAAAAGCCTTCACAAAGGCAGAAGCTAGAGAAGGTGTCCAGGCACAGAACAAACACTGCCTTGCTCCCAAGGTCAGTGGAAGATCAGCTTCCCAAGAGAGACAGTGTGTATATGCACACACTAAGCTACACTACTAACATGAAAAGCAAGGTCAGAAGGTAGGTTTGTCTCAGCCTTATCAAAGGCTGAAAGGTTAGGCAATAAATTTGAAAGCCTGAAATTTAACTGGGTGGAGAACCAGACAGCCGGAATGGGAGAATGGTCAGACTTTGCTGGAATCAGTCTGTGCAGGTGATAAACCCTAGTAGAGAAAACTCACACCATTAAAAAAAAAAAGATCATTTGAAGTCATTAAATCCCACCTTTTCAGCAAGAAGGTGGACCCTCAATTCAGAGACACCATTAGCTTGTAGAGCATAGGAAACTTCATCACAGGCAGAGAAAACCAAATAAGCCAAAAAGCCACAGTTATCTTGAAGATGCTAAAAAGGCTCTGTGGAAGCACACTGTGGCTCTTGATCCAGATGTGGATCCAATCCTTAAAAGAGAGAGATGTCTAACACAGGGACCTCAAACTAATTCCCTTGCAGAGCAATGAGGCAAGTTAGATGCTGGGCCAGGGACTACATCACATCTATTGGTGGGAGAGTGACTGTGTCAAAGCAGTGGAGATGCCACCTAGAGAGGCCTTCTCAGCAGGTCACCCATCCAGGCCAAAACCCACTGCTACTCCCAGCACTGACAGCCTAGGAGCTAAACAGTTATGCCACTAGAAAAGGGTCTCACTACTTGCTGTCTCATCAGCATTCAGTAACAAGCACAAGTCAAACTTCTAGCACCAACACTGCTCAAATTTTTCCCACATGACAAGCAGCAGACATACAGGACTCAAAGTCCAAAGATCTTAAGGACAGATACTAAGCCTTAATCAGACAGTTGATTTTCAACAATATGCCACTGGGCCAACAAAATGAGTCCAAAATGCCCCTGAAAGCCAGTCCTTCTCCACAACTACCTCAATTTCACCATCTGCAGAAAGGAGATGAGCCCAAGGAACCCAATTTGCAGGGCAACAGCAGCCACAGGATAGAGCATCACCTCTAACAAATCTTCAAAGGTAAGTGTTTGGGCTGAATTTTAGGATTGCAATAATTAAAAAGCAGCAAACTAGCAAAGACACAGATGTTGCAAAGTTGCTGCTTCAAAGTCATAACAGGAAGAATGCACAACATTTAAAAGGGGAACTGCTAGTCAGGTTGCTTTTCACTCACCTCTCCAGACAGATTCTCATTCAGAAAGTGCCGCACTAGATCATTTACTACTCTTGCTTTGATTTCTTTATCCAACTGGTCTCCAATCTCAGCAAGCTGAAGAGCAATGACCCGGATAATTTCTTCATTTAGCTCAGGGTCAGGCACTGCCAACACATACAGCAGGATTTAGTTCACAGTATGTAGTCAGACTAGGTTCAGTGCAGGTAAGCTGACCCATAGCATTTTGCCCATCTCCATTACAACCTCCTTCCCACCCCCAGTCATAGGGCATTCATGACAGCTATATGCACTACAACTCCCTTCTGTGCATGTGACTCTTACCAGGACAGGGTGCAAACAGGTTTGGGGTTTTTTTTTTTTG